TGTTTAGCGCTCAGCGATGTTCATCTTGCCTTAATCTGGGTCCGAATAAAACATCAGATCATGCACAGACTATCCTGTCTCTTTGAATTTAAATCTATATTTATTCACATCGGCTCTTGAAAACCTCTATGCGAACACACTTGCCCGAAAAAGTGCGGGGCACGAATTTACGTGATATTAAAAGTGGGGGGGACACGTCCCCCACGTAATCTACGCCCCTGACCCATGGCATTAATATACTGCATCTGTGCCAGCGCGTGATGTAATAAAACTGCAGCTCGTTAATAAACGTTTTTTTTATTTACATTTTTTTAATCCATTTTATACAATCCGCCTTCATTTAGCAAGTGCACTCGCACATAAACAATTTTCAAGTTCAACACTTTTTGTTCCATTCAGTTGTGGACGCTGCTGATTCACCGAGACCGCCGCAGCTCAGCAAATAGACATGCATGTGTGTGTGTGTGTGTGTGTGTGTGTGTGTGTGTGTGTGTGTGTTTTTTTCCTTTGAAAACGTTTCCCCAGAAATACTTAGCAATTTAAAATGCATTTTTCCTTACAAATTGTATTATCATGTGTGTGTGTGTTGTGTGTGTGTGTGTGTGTTTTTTTCCTTTGAAAACGTTTCCCCAGAAATACTTAGCAATTTAAAATGCATTTTTCCTTACAAATTGTATTATCAGCGTAACAATTCGAGCAAATGTGTAAAAGGTATGGCATGATGCCATCCTTCTAGAAGTGCATTTATGTTAAAATTGTAACATAAATGATCAAGTTTAGTTATTCTTATTTCTTTATTGCAAAATGCTAAAACTGTTTTGGAGAGAAATGGGCTCTCATTTTAACCCATATCATGGTGTGTGATGCTGAACTTTGAGTTTCTAATGATGTTTCTATTTGCCCTGTTCTAAACATTTTCATCTTTTCTTCAACTGAATACTGTTTCCATGCTGTTTTAATGTATTTTAAAGAGTTGGCAGTCAAAATTAAAACTGCTGGATCATAGATATTCTTCATTCTTTATGACAAACAAGAAAATGTGAATTACAGAATGTACAACGTTTTTTTTAAATGTGTAAATTGCGGTGTACAGTGTTTATTATGAGGGGGTAGAATCCACAGCTCAGTACTCACTACTCAATACTCATGAGTACTTTTAAATAGGCTACTCTTTTACTCTTACTCAAGTAGTTTTTTGGACAAGCACTTTTACTCTTACTCGCACTACATTTTTTTGGAAAGTAATGGTACTTTTACTTGAGTATATTTTTTCAGTACTCTTTCCACCACTGCCTGTATACATATATATATACAGTGGGTACGGAAAGTATTCAAACCCCCTTAAATATTTCACTCTTTGTTATATTGCAGCCATTTGCTAAAATAATTTAAGTTAATTTTTTTTCCTCATTAATGTACACACAGCACCCCATATTGACAGAAAAACACAGAATTGTTGACATTTTTGCAGATTTATTAAAAAAGAAAAACTGAAATATCACATGGTCCTAAGTATTCAGACCCTTTGCTCAGTATTTAGTAGAAGCACCCTTTTGATCGAATACAGCCATGAGTCTTTTTGGGAAAGAGGCAACAAGTTTTTCACACCTGGATTTGGGAATCCTCTGCCATTCCTCCTTGCAGAGCCTCTCCAGTTCTGTCAGGTTGGATAGTAAACGTTGGTGGACAGCCATTTTTAGGTCTCTCCAGAGATGCTCAATTGAGTTTAAGTCAGGGCTCTGGCTGGGCCATTCAAGAACAGTCACAGAGTTGTTGTGAAGCCACTCCTTCGTTATTTTAGCTGTGTGCTTAAGGTCATTGTCTTGTTGGAAGGTAAACCTTCGGCCCAGTCTGAGGTCCTGAGCACTCTGGAGAAAGTTTTCGTCCAGGATATCCCTGTACTTGGCCGCATTCATCTTTCCCTCAATTGCAACCAGTCGTCCTGTCCCTGCAGCTGAAAAACACCCCCACAGCATGATGCTGCCACCACCATGCTTCACTGTTGGGACTGTATTGGACAGGTGATGAGCAGTGCCTGGTTTTCTCCACACATACCGCTTAGAATTAAGGCCAAAAAGTTCTATCTTGGCCTCATCAGACCAGAGAATCTTATTTCTCACCATCTCACAACTCCATGCGGGCTTTCATGTGTCTTGCACTGAGGAGAGGCTTCCATCGGGCCACTCTGCCATAAAGCCCCGACTGGTGGAGGGCTGCAGTGATGGTTGACTTTCTAAAACTTTCTCCCATCTCCCGACTGCATCTCTGGAGCTCAGCCACAGTGATCTTTGGGTTCTTCTTTACCTCTCTCACCAAGGCTCTTCCCCCCCGATAGCTCAGTTTGGCCGGACAGCCAGCTCTAGGAAGGGTTCTGGTCATCCCAAACGTCTTCCATTTAAGGAATGGAGGCCACTGTGCTCTTGGGAACCTTAAGTGCAGCAGAAATTTTTTTGTAACCTTGGCCAGATCTGTGCCTTGCCACAATTCTGTCTCTGAGCTCTTCAGGCAGTTCCTTTGACCTCATGATTCTCATTTGCTCTGACATGCACTGTGAGATGTAAGGTCTTATATAGACAGGTGTGTGGCTTTCCAAATCAAGTCCAATCAGTATAATCAAACACAGATGGACTCAAATGAAGGTGTAGAACCATCTCAAGGATGATCAGAAGAAATGGACAGCACCTGAGTTAAATATATGAGTGTCACAGCAAAGGGTCTGAATACTTAGGACCACGTGATATTTCAGTTTTTCTTTTTTAATAAATCTGCAAAAATGTCAACAATTCTGTGTTTTTCTGTCAATATGGGGTGCTCTGTGTACATTAATGAGGAAAAAAAATGAACTTAAATGATTTTAGCAAATGGCTGCAATATAACAAAGAGTGAAACATTTAAGGGGGTCTGAATACTTTCCGTACCCACTGTATATATATATATATATATATATATATATAGTGTATTATGATCCTTTTATGGTACTTTTTTGCTCTACTAGCAAAATACTAGTGTTCTATGAACACACAGACAATTTTCACTAAGCTGTCAAAAACATTTCGTGGTTATTATTCACCTCAGAGAAAATGACTGACCTGTCTGACCCATCTCTTTTGGACATGGCTTAAATTATTTGGATATTCTGTTTCTCTGTTGGACCATAATGATTATGGTTAAATTTGCTGAATGGTGTTTATTTATGCTGAATAAATGAAATTGCTACTTTTTCTGTAAGACACTAATGAAAATCACCATGCAGAATCATGAAAATTACAAATAAATTAAATGCATTGTAAAATATGTATAAATCATGTCGTACAGTGTGTATTTATACTCATTAAATGAAAACATTTGTAAATATATAAATGAATTTCACCATTTAGAATAATGTGAATTACAAATAAATAAAATGCATAAATAAATAAATAAATGCACTGCTTATACTGTATATATATATATATATATATATATATATATATATATATATATATATATATATACAAAAAAAAAATATAAACACAGTGACATCTGTGGCATTGTGCTGTGTGATAAAACTGCACATTTTAGAGTGGCATTTTATTGTGGCCAGCCTAAGGCACACCTGTGCAATAATCATGCTGTCTAATCAGCATCTTGATATGCCACACCTGTGAGGTGGATGGATTATCTCGGCAAAGGAGAAGTGCTCACTAACACAGATTTAGACAGATTTGTTAACAATATTTGAGAGAAATAGGCCTTTTGTGTACATAGAAAAGTCTTAGATCTTTGAGTTCAGCTCATGAAAAATGGGGGCAAAAACAAAAGTGTTGTGTTTATAATTTTGTTCAGTGTATATACATATATTTATTTATACATACAGTATAAATATATTTTTTTTGTTGTTTGTTTTTGTTTTGTTTTGTTTTTTTTGTTTTTTGTTTTATTTATGAACCTAAAATAAGCTTCATATTCATTACTTTGTGGTGAAATATGACCTGGACATGTTTCAAAAGAAATTATACAAGCTTCAACTTACAAGATAATTCAGTGTTCCTAAAAGGTAAGAGAGACTCTACACTGAACAATCCAAATCTCTTTGAGTTTTCCACAGGACTAATGAAGAGTGAGAATTATGGGTAAGTGGCCAAACATGCGGGTCCTCTTCTGTCCTCCTAACTGCAGACAGCTTAATCATCAAGCCTCAGTAAACAACATCAGCTAAATACAGCTCTCTCACTCACACTCGCTCACTCTCCCCTACTTTTATTTACTCGGAATGACAGATTGAAAAGAGAAAAAAAAGAACTGTGGCTTTGAAGATTTGCTGTGGGGAGGAGTGTGGGATGTATATAGACACACAATATAGAAATCAGCTGAGGTGTGTGTGTGTGTGTGTGTGCTGCGGAGAGAGAGAGATGTCTACTTTACTCTACCAAATTACCTCATGTCAGGGATTAGAAGGAGACGGGCCAGACGGATGATGGGAAAAGGAGAAAGGGATAAGTTGAAGTTGGAAGAGTGCTGATAGACAGAGCAGAGCAGGAGAGTGAGAGAAGGGGGAGTCTGTTGATTTCAGTTGGGGGTGATGAATATGACAAAAAAGAAAGAGATGTATAGAAATAAAGAGAGTTCAAAAATATTCTCCACATTCCAAACATATTTGGAATTCAAACTTTGAATAAGTCCTATCATAAGACATCATGAAATCATCCAAATCATCGGTGTACAGTACATTGTTTCAAGAAAAAATAATATCTTAATACAACAAAATAATATATTTATTGTGAAATATCTCAAATGTTTTAAAGTAAAAAAATAAATATTTAAAACAAATTTGTTAATTAAAACTTCAATAAAACTTCAAAATTAAATAACATAAAAATAAAATAAAATGCCTCACCCAACACATTTTCATATCAAACAAGATATTACAGTAAACGAGAAGATAAATCACATTATAGAAGCAAAATAGGATGTGAATGCCACTGCGAGTTGATTTTGAGAAGTGAATTGTTATACATTACCTCTGGTATTTGAACAGCATAAGGCTGGTTGAGAAATGATGGTGCATTGTCATTTACATCTCCGATCTGAATGTTCACTGTATTCTTGACGACCTAAAAACCAATTAAATCAAATAATGCATCAAATTAAATCAAATAACAAATAACATTCTACTGATTCTACGTTGGATTTCATAGATTAAAAAACCGAGTTAGTCTATAGTCATTAAATCTAGAAAAGTTAAATCTAGAAAAGAAAAGTTCATCAAGCCAATTTTTTAACTAAGAAATCACACAACCATTAAAACATTTGGAGTCAGTAAAAGTCCCTTATGCTCACCAAGGCTGCATTTATTTGATCAAAAATACAGTAAAAACAGTAATATTGTGAAATACCATTCCAATTAAAAAAAATTATATTTGAAAATATTTTAAAAAGTAATTTCTTCCTGTAATGCAAAGCTGAATTTAGCTATTACTCAACGAGACATGATTCATCATGATATGGTGATATGGTGCTCAAGGAACATTTCTTAATATTTTAATTTCTTAATATTAGCTTTGTGGAATAGCTTTGATATTATTAGATTTTTGGGGGGAAAGTTCAAAAGAGCTGCATTTATTTGAAATATTTTTTTGTAATTATTATCAATGTTGAAAACAGTTTTTTTAAATGGAAATCTTTTGTAACATTATAAATATCTTTACTGTCCACTTCTGAAAAATTCAATGCATCCTTGCTGAATATAAGTATTAATTTCTTTACAAAAAAAATTGTACAGGCCTCAAACTTTTGAACGGTAATGGAAAGTTAAAAAACACAGACCTTAGAGACAGATGGATGGGAAAAATGGATAGATCGATGATCCCTAACTCACCCCTTGACTGTCACTGACTGAGAACTCCACCTGCATCTCTGACTTGGACTGAAGACACAAAAACACAAACAGACAAACAAACAGCAGCATTAAATCACTAGTGCCGGCTCCAGCTGGACAGTCATTCAATTCTTTTGCCATTTGCTCATGGTTTTCCGCACCTCCCTGTCGAGCGGCTGTCTCAGCCACACAACCCCAGTCGTCTCCTGCACAGCGAAGTACCGCATGGCCTCTTCCCCGACCACACCGAAAATCAAGAAATGTTGAAAACAGTTTTTTTAAATGGAAATCTTTTGTAACATTATAAATATCTTTACTGTCCACTTCTGAAAAATTCAATGCATCCTTGCTGAATATAAGTATTCATTTCTTTACAAAAAAAATTGTACAGGCCTCAAACTTTTGAACGGTAATGGAAAGTTAAAAAACACAGACCTTAGAGACAGATGGATGGGAAAAATGGATAGATCGATGATCCCTAACTCACCCCTTGACTGTCACTGACTGAGAACTCCACCTGCATCTCTGACTTGGACTGAAGACACAAAAACACAAACAGACAAACAAACAGCAGCATTAAATCACTAGTGCCGGCTCCAGCTGGACAGTCATTCAATTCTTTTGCCATTTGCTCATGGTTTTCCGCACCTCCCTGTCGAGCGGCTGTCTCAGCCACACAACCCCAGTCGTCTCCTGCACAGCGAAGTACCGCATGGCCTCTTCCCCGACCACACCGAAAATCAAGGGCTCGCCGTCTGGGTCGACCGCCTGCAGCTGGGTAATGGATGTACCTGAACACACACACAATGGACGATATTTCAGACTACATTACATCTTAAAGGGGTAATGAAAAGTTGATTTTTTCTTGATCTTTTGACACAGAAGACTTGTTGCTCTTTGAAAGTATAAAGTCTTTCGGAGCTTAAAAAACAACAGCATCTATTGCAACTATGCTACTATGAAACAAAGTTTTGCAACATTTCAGACAAAACAGAATTTTTTTTAATATGTACTTTTGTCTTGTTTTCTAATAAGAAAGACACCCTTTAAACTTGAGAAGCAACCATATTTGCTAACTAGGTAATATAAGATATAATTGTACAGCTGGATACAAACATTGCAGATGGATATGACCTCATTAAGGGTAAAAATGAAACACATTTACACATATAAAGTAAACTAAACGGCCCAGCTTAGGTGTAAATATATCCAGCAGCGCAGGAGGCCACAAAGGATGACTCACATTTAAAGGTGAAGTGTGTAATTTTTCTGATACTTTTAAAATGTCCCAGTTTAATATGCAGAGACAACTATAAGCTATTCGCAGGTTGGCAAGAGTGTGAACACTGTGACTTGTGTTTCGGTTTTTTAACTTCTCCTGGAACCAGTGAAGTGAGTTTGGGAACAATGGTTAAAATTAAGGCTGGACTATACCATACTTACACTATACTATACCTACACCAGCATTTAAAATCTGAATAGATTTGGCATACACTAATATATATATATATATATATAATTTATTTAATTTTTTTTTTTTGGTCTGTGTGTGTGTGGGTGTAAATATGTGTATTTTGTTATCCTATGTTGGTTACTGTTTTTTGTTTATAAAAAATAAAAATATATATTATAAAATAAAAGACTTGGCATACACTAAACATCTCTGGATCACCAGAAAACTAAATATTTTATTTTTAACTTCTTAACGATTTTAACCATACTTTCTGGTATTAAATAAATTACATTTATGTTAAATAAATATATATTTTTAAATGTTACTTTATTTTTATTGCATTTATATTTATTATGAAGTATACTTATAAACATGCATTATCTGCAAGTAATTTGTTCAGAAGGCAACAGAAGGCAAAATAATCACCCTACTTAGCATTCGGAAGAGTCATTAGCATTAGAAGCACACTATGTAGGCAGCTAAAACAGAGACTGTGTGTTAATGAGTGTGTGTGCATGTGTGTATATGTGAGTGTATGTAAAGTAGAAGCCAAGTTTTAAGTCATTCCAAACACAAAAAACCCCACAGCAGATGCATGACAAATGAAAACAATATGCAATCTAAAATTGGCTCAAAAAATTAAACATGTTTGATTTCCTCTGGCTAAATGGAATTATAATCTGTAGCTAAAAAAAATTGGAATCTGTGCCTATCAAACACTACGATTTTCTTTGAAATCTGACTGCCCAAAATCTGACTTTCAGTAACTAGCATAAACTCCTAAACTCATTACGAACTTTAGAAACTTTTCAGAGGAAAAAAAAAATCTTAATCTGAATTTTTCTCTTGTTTTCTAGTAAAAAGTCACCCTTAAACCCAGACTACACTATTTTTTTGTCGGTTACAACAGTCACTGTGTCAGATTATGTGATTTTGACTTCTAAAATCTTGTCGTGTCGTGAACAAGCAAGTGACAAAGAAGGCCTGGGCGATAAAACGGTATCGATATTTAGCGACGGTACACCTTCTTCGATATCGATAGAAAAAATGTTCGATATAGCGCACGATATAGGCACGTGCTATGAGTGACGCAGACAGCACACACAAACACGAACACATGCTGAAATGAGTGCTGTGCCTGCCTGTGATAAGAAGATTGTGAATAAAGAATGAATATTAGTCAAATTTAAAATAAACATTTGCATTTGAATGTTAGGAGTGCATCAGTGGAGCACGAGATGCGGTGATGAATGATGTAAGTGACGTTGTTCCATTTTAATATTTTGTTAGTGTAGGGTATCAGACCGAATCAGACCATTTAAGATTCGATCAAGAACATGGTTGAAACACGAGGAGCCGAATTCCACAGAAAGGTCCAAGACACAGGATGTTCGTAAATCAGGTCCTGGCGCCACAAGCCTGAAGCAAGTCCACCAACTAGCAGCTTTGAGTAGCTCACAGCATTTAAACAAAAGAACACTTATTGACAATTCCAAGGAGATTGTAAATTTTGGGGCTCCTCACGATCACGAGCTCTTTGGATTGACTTTCCCCCCACCTAGAAGACAAAGAACAGACTGAGATTCCTTATGAGAGACCTCTTAACCTCTGGTCTTCACAGAACATGTCCTTATGTTCAAAGAAATGGTACAGAAACTGTCTTTTACAGATGTAGATGCACCTAAATGAACTCAAAAAGGCTTATAAACTAATATCAGTCCATTGCTTAACTCCATATTATGTATCTAACCCACACATTAGACTATCATGTTTTAATCACGTATTGTGTATGTCTTTTTAATAACTATTGAATAACTTCATATTCATGTTTAGTATGTGTGTGTTTGAATCTTCTTGCTTGAAACGTTTCTTCCAATCAATTCTTTGTCAAATGTATCATATTCTTGTTATGGAAATCATGTCCAAAATTATACTTATACTATATTATAAATGTAGCAACAACCCGAGCTAAGACGGTGTCTAATTGGTCAAAACACCATTTGGGATGTGTCCAAAAGCCCAGTTTAAATACTCAGGACACCATCAGATCATTGCTTTTAGCAGGCTTTTTGCGTCTAGCTTTTAATTTGTCGCTCTTTTTAGTTATGTGCTTTCAAGTCATCACTTTTAGCCATGCAGCTTTTTAGTCATAGCTTTGAGCTATGCTTTTCAGTCATTGCTGTTTGAGCGTGCTCTGGCTTACACGCCAGCTCCTCCAAAACCATGAGGAGAAACGCCACCTAGTCTCGTCAAACTTTACATCTATTTCTATTTCTTTAGTTTTTTTTATTTTCCGTTGAGAGTTTCGTGTTCTGAGTTAAGCCGAACGCCGCATCTCCGAAGAGTGCTGTCTGCCCTTCAACTGCAGACTACAGCTCCGCGTCGCCAGCCAACGCCCAATCACTGGCTTCCCAAGACTGAACCTCCAGCCAATCAGAAAAGCGGGA